GAAGCTGAGAATGTTTCGGAATGTTCTATGGTCTGCTGGGGTAATAATATAGTGTAAAGCGCATAGAGCCTGCTGTTGAGCGGGGATATGCGCTATACAAATGCTATCTATTATTATTATTATTATCGTCGTCGTTGTTGTTCTCGGTCTTTGCTGCTGTTCAAGTAATGCCGTTGCCGTTGCCGTTGTCCTTGTTCTATAAATTGTATTTGTTGTTGTTATTGTTGTTGTTATTGTTGTTGCTGCTTCTGCTCTGCTACTTGTTGGTATTGTTGTTGTTGTTGTTGTTAGTGATGATGATGTTGTGTTATTTTTGTTGTCGTCGTCGTTGTGTGTTGTTGCTGTCATTGTTGTTGTTATTGTTGTTGTTGTTGTTGTTGGTGGTGGTGCTGTGCTGCAGCTGCTACTTCTGCTGCGGCTGCTGCTACTGTTATTGTTTATCATTGTCATTATGATATTGTCATTTGTTACGTCCCCAGGCAACAGAAAACGGATGAGCAAATTTGCCAGACGAGGTCCACTTCACAGAACCTGAGGACAACTTGCGACCAAAACACACTACCGTGGAGCATGCAGTTGAAAATACAAGTGAGAATAGAATACACCTTTAAAGGAGCCACGGTGTCCTAACTCATGGAAGGCGTGCCTTCTGATCATTTGACTAAGTTTGAAGACATCCCGCCGCTTCAGGACACATTCATAATCATACAGATCTTTCAATTCTGCTTTCTTTAACTGAAATTTAAAACAAAGACAGGCAACAACATGCATCAGCAAATTCGTGTTCCTGATGTGTGTACGATGATTTTAAATGTGCCACAACATTGCTTTGCCTGCTGCTAGATCGGACATAATATTATATGTGAGACGAGCTGACAAAATGAGTTACTTCTCACAATCCACAAATGGAGATATTAGCCCAAAATCAACACTAGGGCCAAATTAGTCGATTTTCTATTGATGTCATATTCTTTAAGTATAACATGCCTTATATTATTTCATAGTTATAAATTGTGAAAACTTCACCTATAAGCGTGATGTATTGATTTACATAGGGCTCGGATCCGAGAAGTAACTCATTTAGTCAGCTCCCTTCACATATATTATGCCTCCTACTCCTACGTTTTTAAAGAGAACCGAAACTTTAAAAAAATACGCGTTTGCGACTTGATTTTTTAAAAAAGTTCGATGATGCACATCACCATCTCTTGAGGAGAACGTGTTCATGTTCTTCGATGTTTTGATATGGCTTTGTACTTTGTCGCTAGGCACAAAGGACATGAATTCGATACCTACGTTGCGAACTCCCTCTGTTTCGGTACCTAATTGCTGTCTCCTATTCGACATTTTCAACAACCAATCAATAGCCCTGTGGATGTGGAAGCGAGGTTCTGTTTCATTTATGTATTATTGTTGTACGGATTTCTGCTTTACTTGAAGAGTCTTGTAGACGACCGACCTCTGTAGTAGGCCTACATTGTTTAGAAGATGTAGATCTAGATTTAATTTCCACATGGCACACTTTTAATCGAAGATATAATATTATTATCTCCGTTTTTCTCCAGGGATGCGGCATTCCACTCAACCCGATTTGGCCCCTGACAGACGGGGTTTAAGTGCCTGTTTGCATCTTAACTATCTAAATAGTGTCAGCGAGGGTTTAACATGTTAATGTTACCCGCACCCCCTTTATTTTTTTTCTTTAAACAACAACAAACAAAAGAAAACAAAAGAAAAAAAAAAGAAACCAGAAAAAACCATGGCCTTCCCAAACACATTCCACTTTCCTCCAGGACTGTGAGAGTCGGGCAGATTTCCTGGCCAGTCGTAAGGAACAAGTGGTCACCGACCTGACCTCCACGTCACAGGAGCTACAGCAGTTTGACCTGGACGTGGAACCCACACTTCTGCTGTTGGTCAGGGTGTTTGAGCTACATCAAGACAGGTCAGGATATTAACAGTCTTCTTGGGCGCTTCCGGATGCTTAATAGTTCTGAGCGAGAAAAGAATACCAAGGAATAGATCATGGTAGTGCATAAACATGTATAACAATAACAGATTTCATGTAAGCTTGTCAAATGATTTGTATGTTTTACGTCTATTCCACACAGCTGAGATAATTTTAAGAGGTGATGTGATTCGACCATGCTTGATTAGGCCAACCCGAGCTAAGTGGGGTACAGCATTCCACCAGAAAAACGAAGTTCTCGATAACAATTAATAGAGTTCCCTAAGCGGGAATCGAACTCACGTAGATCTTGTACAATTAGAAAATGCCAGTATAAGTTTTAACTGTGTCTAATTAAGGCTTGTTGTGCTCCACTTTAGCTAAAGAATCTCCGACAAAATTAATATGATGTGTATCTGTTTCAGTCACGACTCTTCGCTACGAAATGGTTTCCATCTTCTTAAGGCAGTGTCTCTCCGCGACCGACATCTGCTAGAACAATTCCAGCAACATCCGACACACGCAGCCATTGCTCTGGACGGAGAAGAAATCTGTGATGTCGCCAAAGTCTCGAGAGAGAATAACGTCCTTTCACCATTTCAGGAACGCCTACAAGGATTTACACGAATATCTGAACCAACGAGTTCTAAAGCGAATTACTTTGAGCAAAAGTCTAACGTATCCAATACACGTGATGTTAAAGACACTCTTCTTCACTCGTCGTCTAATGTCTGTCTCACTGAGAAGACGGAGAACATACCTGTGGGTGCAGGAAGCGAAAGGGATTCCAAAGGTTTGCAGGTGAGTAACGAGACGCCCGTGGCGACCGAGCTGGGTTGCCATCAGAGAAACAAGGCGACCATGACGGCCGAATTGGGTTACCATGATAGTGACAAGGCGACCGAGTTGGGTTACCATCAGAGTGACCATCAGAGTGACAAGGCGATCGAGCTCGATTACCATCCGCGTGACAAGGCAACCATGACGACCGAGTTGGGTTGCCATCAGAGTGACAAGGCGACCATGACGACCGAGTTGGGATACCATAAGCCTAAGGACGATTTGTCTCCAGCCACACTCGGCGAGGGTGGCGGAGATTCGTCAATGTGTAAAACCACAACGTCACAACCAGAACGGCAAACTGTTGATCTGGAGCAGAACTCTGATGTGGAATCGGTCAAATCAGACTCACCGTGCCACAGATCAGTTGCATCGGAATCCTCAGGATGCAGGGATTCAAACATTAACCATTTCCACTATGTGGAGCTTCCCCACGATCTGAACCCAGGGTCTTCCGTTCGTCCTACACCTCGGAGGTCCAGCATGTCTACAAACTTGTGCGACCGGAATGGCGTAAACAAATGTGTTGATGTCTTGGACTATTGCCATGAGGAGAGCCTCCAGGCGAGCCAGGACATTGTGGAGATGTATGAAGGGAAACCGACCGAGCAGACGAGAATTATCAGCAGAAAAAAGTCAAAGGCCTTCGCGGATCAGAACAGTGGTATCAATAGTCTCGTGGGTATGTCTTGCTACCGGAATATCGAAGGAGAAGTTTTAGAAAGCGTGGACACAAATCAAGCCGCTCACATAGAAAATGAGGCTTCCCTGTCATTAACCCTGAAGAGCGGCGAAGAATTTCCCCGAGAAAAGAGCGACTCTAACACAACAGAATCACTTCAGACCGAGGCACTGATTGCAAAGTATGCGGATAGTTCGGTAACTGGGCGGCAGAAACACATTCCTTACAAGTCTGAATTTTTAATGAATGAATCCCGAACTGCTAGCGTGAATAAGGAACCGAGGCCACGAGATCCTCTAGCGAGTTTTGACGATATGGACGAGAGAGGAAGATGCTCTTCGCAGTGGGTCTGTGGTTTGCCGGCTATGAGTAGTGAACATTCCCAAGAATATGATGAGATGCGGACCTCGAGTCTTCTCGGGAAGTATATGTGGTCGCACAGGAAGTCCCCATATCTCAGTAAGAACTTCAACAACAGTGAGTTCGACTCGTCCAACGCCGCCACCGTTGCTTTGCCCGAGAATGGCGACACTTTGGAGTTTGAGCAGTATCACAAGTCCCCGAGTCAGAAGTGGAGTCGACAGAAAGTGAAAGTTTGCGCTGTGAAACCGCTGACTCCTGGCTTGGATACTTACAGTTGGTCAACGGAAAGTGACGGCGATAAAGCCAGTTGCTCTAAAGGAAGTAATACCGACGAGGATGCTTGTGTTGTCACAGCTGAATCGCAATGTAAGCCCTGGGGAAAAGATACAAACTCCCAAGAACAGCTAAATTCTGAAAAGACGGAGCCGAAACAGTTATTGATTCAAATAAAAAACACCAAAGATTCCACCTCAAGCATAGGGTACACTTGTTCAGAGCATGAACGCAGAAACGGAGAAGACACTGGGAGTATTAACCAGAGCGCCGTTGAAGAGGGACTTCTCTGCCCTCTTTCATCGCATTGTGCAACAATAAATACTTTACTGGACACTTCTCCAGACCTACCTCGGATTGTGAGCTCCGCTGAATATCCCCAAACTGTGAGCTTTCCAGAATATCCCCAGACTGTGAACTCCCCTGAACATCTACAGAGTGGGAATACCCCAGAATATCTGCAGACTGGAAGCTCCTCAGCTCCTTCTCAGAGTGGTTGTTCCGTGGAACATCAGCAGGGCGGGAGTTCTCTAGAACATCTTCGGAGCGGGAGTTCCCTAAGATCTCTTCAGAACGGGAGCGCCTCAGAACATCTTCAAGCCATGAACTCATGGGACTATAACCAGACTGGGAGCTCTCTAGAATGTTTGGCTAAGACTGGGAGCTCCCTAGAGCATCCTAAGAGCGGGAGCTTCCCAGAGTATCCTCAGAGCGGGAACTCCGCAGGGTGCTCTCATTCTGTCTACGACGAAGAGGATCCAACATACAAGTACAGAGCCATGTGTGTCAATGGCATCAAACAAACACAAAGGAGGGGAATAGTGGTGAACTCAATAAACTTTGAGAATGCTTTGCCAAGAAATCACGCTAACGGGGTCGTATACGGGAGCCCGATCTCGCAAAGTTCATTAAAGCTGGAGAAAGAAGTTGACAACTCGTTAGTATCGGGTATTTTTATCCCTCAGTTTCAGAAACTGCGTAGTCCTTTCGGGCAATGGCTGTGGGGAAGAGAGGATACCATAGATAGACTAGCCAGAATAAACGCATACGTGGATTATTATGATTATGAACCAATGCCTAATATAGGAACTGGCATCAGGGCTGAAGGATATTCGCCATTGTTGAGTTCAAGGTGGTCTCAAGTTCATAGCACGCCTTTGTCCACGTCATGTTCCTTCCTCGACGCATGCTATTATCGCAGTGGTCGATTTGATGGCATAGAGCACGAACAGGGGGAGGGCGCAGATGGAGGGCAAAGGTCAAAGAAAAGACAGAAGAAAGTGAGGTTCAGCAATGTGGTAAGCTATGACACGCCTTGACAAGGATCATCAAAAGTGAAGGCGCCTGATGAGAGAGACGTTTCTCAACTCCCAGAAGAAAGAAAATGAAAGTGGAGATCGGTGGTGTTTGTGTGTGTGTG